ATGCCTAAGTGTAGGGGTGGGCACATTTCGGGTAAAACCCGAATTTCCGCGGGTTCGACCCGAAAAAGGGCATCCCGGGTCGGATTCGACCCGGTTCGGGTCTGACCCGAGCAAGCCTTCACTGATATTTATTTATTCGGTTCGGATCTCGGATTTTTCATTTTGAGTTCGGATTTGACCCGAAACCCGAAATATAGAGTAGTATATATAAATAATAATAGACTTAGGGTTTCAGAATACAGACCATGTTCATCGCTCCGCCTCCTCACTTCCTCAGTCTTCTCTCTCTCTCTCTACTTCCCCTCTATCTTTTCTTTCTCTCTCGAGACTTCACTTCCCTCTGCCCCTCAGATAGTCAGATTTCACTCATCTCAGTATCTCATCCCTCACTCTCTCCGTCTCTCGCCTTTTCCGATCTCCGCCGCTCAGAGCCTAAGACTCCGCCTCTCACCTTTCACACCCTTTTTGCCTGTCCTTTGGACTGTGACTCGTACTGCTCCGGATCTCTCAAATCTAGCCTTTGGGGCTAAGCACAACGTAGATCTAGGGAGATGAGCTTACACTTCTCCACTTCTCCAGTGACCGGCGGTCGGCTACTGTCCTCTAAGGCAAAGTCCAAAGCCGTTAACACTATTACAGGTAGTTTATTATTATTTTTTTCATTATTTCTAGAAATATATATTTTGATCGTGTTTGGAAAATTTTATCAAGAATCTCAGGATCTCAGTATCTGTCTCTCTACAGATCCGGCCTCCGGGGAGATCTCCATTGAGGCTTCGAGTTTGTAGACTTCTCGCCATGAAAATATAATATGAGAAAAAGGTACTTTACTGTTGTTTTTGTTTTTGTTTTTTTCCTTTTTCTCAGATAATTAAAATTTTAAGACTTTACACAGTTTTTGAAAATTGTTCCTTTTGTATTAATTTAACAATTTTTTTCAACAAAAAACTGTATTATAGTGTTTTTAATGTTCTTCTAAGTTTTTATTTATAAATTTTTATTAGTTTTTTTTTTTTCATTTTGTCCTAGAAAATGAACATTAGCTGTAATTATTTTTGGAAAAAAGATAACTTGTTTCTAGTTTTTAAAGTAGACTATGTCACTGCTGGAAATCATCAGATTTCCGACCACTTTTCCGACCACCGCGAAATATGGTCGCAAAATCCGATTTTTTCTTATTTTTCCGACGACCGCAAAAGATGGTCGGAAAGTGGTCGGAAGATCCGACCACCTAGGTATGGTGGTCGGAAGTTTCCGACCACCAGCATTAGCGGTCGGAAAATGTCGGCAGCTTGCATTTAATTTGCTTTTCTTTTCCGGCCACCTTTGTAGGTGGTTGGAAATAGCTTTATATATCTGCATATTTTCAGACCATTTTCTCTGATTTTTTACATCTTTCTGCTCATTTTTTCCTTGTTGAAGGTATTCTTTCATAAAATCTTCTATAATAGTGCTAAAATCAAGTTCTACTACATCATATCAAGCTAAACTAAGGTATGTGTGTATATTCTTAGATCTACCATTTAATAAGTCATTTTTTTAGATCTAGGTTTAATTTTTGGGAATACTTATTTAGATTATTTATTTTATGATTGAATAATGTATAGTGTGCATATATGTATATGTGTTTGTATGTATGTATGTATGCTTATAATTATTTGTATATTTATGTTTTTTTAATAGCATTTTATATGTGTGTATATTTATTAGTGTGCTTGTATATAATTATTAAAAATATTCGTATTATTTTTAATATATTTATATATGTGTTTGTATTGTATATATGTTTTTGCAGTAGTTTTACATGGCTAATATACCTGAACATCGAAAATGGATGTATAACCGATTGTTACCCGGAAAAAGGGGGTACACTGATGAGTTCTTAATGGGTGTTGAGGAATTTGTAAATTATGCAAGCACGCTTCCTGTATATGAGGCTTCAATGAAGATTAGGTGCCCATGTAGTAAGTGTAAGAATAGAGTACACTTGTCTGCAGATGATGTTCGTGTTCATTTGTATAAGAAGGGTTTTGAACCGAATTATTGGGTTTGGACGTGTCACAATGAGTTTCCCCCCTCAATACAATCGCATATGAATGAGGGCCCTAGTGAAAATAATCGGTATGAACAAATGGTTTTTGATGTATCTGGTCCATCATTTTTTCCACTAAATGCCGAGAATGACCAAGATGAAGAGCCACATAGTACTGCAAAAAACTTCTATGATTTGTTAAATGCTGCGAGACAACCTTTATCAATGAATGTTAATGAAGAAACAGAGCTAGCATATACATTGAGGATGATGAATATCAAGACAACTTTTAATATACCACAGCTAGCAATGGATCATATATTTGAGTACATTAACCATTTGATGGGTCCTGATAATCAAGTACCTACCAGGTATTATGATGCAAAAAAATTACTTACAAAGCTTGGTCTTGGACATGAGAAGATTGATTGTTGTGTAAACAATTGTATGTTGTACTAAAGTCTGAAATAAATGACAAGCATTGTAAGTTTTGTGGTGAGCCAAGATTTAAACCTTGCTCATCTGGATCTACTCGTGCAAAAGAGGTGCCTCGCAAAAGAATGCATTACCTTCCCCTCATTCCTCGATTGCAACGTTTGTATGCATCACATAGCTCTGCTTCACACATGCGATGGCATTATGAAAATCGCCGCGAACCCGGTATTATGTGTCATCCCTCTGATGGTGAAGCATGGAAGCACTTTGATAGAAGGTTCCCTGATTTCTCAGCAGATCCTCGAAAAGTAAGACTAGGCTTATGTTCTAATGGATTTTCTCCTTTTGGTTTCAATGCAAAGCCGTACTCTTGTTGGCCTGTTATGGTTGTTCCATATAATCTCCCACCTTCAATGTGTATGACTACACCATACACATTCTTAACCTGTATTATTCCTGGACCGAAGAACCCAAAGGTCAATATTGATGTCTATCTGCAGCCTTTAATTGATGAACTTCAATTGTTATGGGAAATAGGTGTCTTAACTTATGATGCATCACTTAAACAAAATTTTATGATGCGCGCTACGCTAATGTGGACCATCAATGACTTTCCTGCATATGGTATGTTATCTGGATGGCAGACAGCCGGGAAACTAGCATGTCCTTATTGTCTTCATTATTCTAAATCATTTTATTTGAAGAATGGTCATAAAACTTGTTGGTTTGATTGTCACCGTCAATTCCTTCCAATGAATCACTCCTGGAGGAAGAATCGAGATACCTTCGTCAAACAACGAGCTGAGAAATCAAGACCTCAACCAATTTGGACAGGAGATGAGTTGTTTCATAGTTTAGAAAATATCCCAAAGATTATTGATGGTCCAATTGGTCGCATTGAGGGGTTTGGACATGCACACAATTGGAAAAAAAAAGAGCATATTTTGGGATTTGCCTTATTGGAAGGATAATTTGCTACGTCATAATCTTGATGTGATGCATATAGAAAAAAATGTGTTTGATAACATCTTCCACACGGTTATGGATGTCAAAGGCACAGCTAAAAATAAAGACACGCCTAGTGCGCGTCTCGATATGAAGGACGTGTGTAATAGGCCAGAACTTGAGTTGGTGGAAAATGATGGACGTTATCTTATGCCCAAGGCAAGCTACAGTTTGAATCGTACTAATCAATTAGCTGTCTATGAGTGGTTACGAACTTTGAAGTTACCTGATGGGTTTTCTTCTAATTTGGCTACATGTGTTGATTCCACATCTTCTAAATTAATAGGGATGAAAAGTCATGATTGTCATATTTTTATGCAGTTTCTTGTGTCTGTAGCCTTCATGTTTTTACCAAGCTGTCACTGGAAGCCTTTGACTGAGTTAAGTGCGTTTTTCAGAAATCTCTGTTCTACATCCCTACGTGTAGACAAAATACAGGAAATGGAAAACTCGATTGTTTTAACATTGTGTAAGTTAGAACGGTTTTTCCCTCCAGCACTGTTTGACTGCATGGAACACTTGCCTGTCCATCTTCCCTATGAAGCACGTTTAGGTGGCCCAGTACAATATCGTTGGATGTATCCATTTGAACGCTTCCTCAATCACTTAAAGTCCAAAATGAAAAATAAGAGATACGTTGAAGGTTCAATTGCTGATGCATATATGCTTGAAGAGGCAACACACTTTGCATCATTTTATTTTGATGATGATGTGCAGAGTAGAAGAACAAGGATACGTCGGAACCTAAATGATGGAGGCATTGATCATAACTTGGCAGTTACTTTGTCGATATTTAATCGACCAGGTCGATCGATGGGCAAGAAAAAGACAAGATATTTGAGTGCAGAAGAACGTTTCGTCGCTCATCAATATGTGTTACTGAATTGTGAGGAGGTTCAACCGATTTTAAGGTATGTTTGCTCAACTTTTTCCCATTTTGGTTTCAAATGTGTATATATCTAATATCACTATTGTAGGATGTATGAAAATGGTTTACGACGTCTCAATCCTGGTTGTACTGATGAAGACGTAGACGAGGAAGTTGAAAGAAATTTTGCACATTGGTTTAAAGAATATGTAAGAAGTTAATGCATTTTGTCATTCTTGATTCTTTATTATCTAAAACTGATACATGTATTATAGTCGAGGGACTAATACCTAATTTGTTATATGACGTTTTCTTTATATTTATTATTAGGTATATTGCTAAACAAACAATGTGTGTAACCAATCACTCATTGATTTGGCATCTGGGCCGATAATGGAAGTTAACACATATACTGGGTATGTCGTTAATGGTTTCAAGTTTCAGACTGAAGAATATTGCCGTAGAAAGTCGACTTCTAACTACGGAGTGTCAATCAAGGGAACAAGTTTAGCACAATTTGAATCAAAATTTTTTGGGACATTGCAAGAAATTGTTGAGGTTGAGTACCCCAATGTTCCAATAAAAAAAAAAATTGTTCTCTTCAAGTGTGAGTGGTTTGACCCAACACCCAATATTGGGTCAATATTCAATTCAGAATATGGTATCGCTGAGGTGCACTGCAATAAACGATATAGGAAGTATGATCCTTTTATCATTGCACAAAGCGCATGTCAGGTGTGTTATATTCCATACCCACGAGGTATCCGGGAGAAAATGAATTGGTGGGTAGTGTTGAATGTACGTCCTAGAGGAACAATCGACAGTGCCTATAGCTCTAGTTATACATATCAACAAGATAACATACTGTTGCCTACATATGGGGGTGATCAAAGTATTCAAGATGACGTGCAAGAGTTAGTGCACGAACCATTACAGATGAATGAAGTGGAATTACCTCACATCGGAAATCAATGGTCTGACCAAGGTGTCCAAACTGAAGATTCAGAAGAAGAAGATTCTGAAGAAATTGAAGAAGAGGACAATGATGATTTTGTAGAAGATGATAGTGGAGATATTGATGATGAAGATGATAATGAGGAATCCGAGAATGATGAGGGTGAGTTTTAATTTAGATTTGAAATTTAAATGATTTTAATGTTTATTTTAATTAGTGTTTAAGAATGATTTTAATTTTTTTTGATTTTGAAATAAGAATGATTTTAATTAATGTTAAAAAAATTATGCCAAATATAACCCCAAAATAATGGCGCCATTCTGAAATAATTCACTAACCACATTGACTACAATATCTCCCTCCACTATTTTTGACCTCACTTTTCACTTCTGACTTCTCACTTATCACTTCTCACTCCCTCGCCTTCTCACTCCCTCGCCCTAATCTTTCACGTCTCCGGCAACACCGGCAGCAACCAGCAACCAGCAATGGCAGTAACCATCAACCAGCAACGTCAGCAACCGCCCTAATCCTCCTTTGCCCTAATCTTTCAAATCCCTAATCTCTCATTCTGAAATTTCGCCCAGGCACTCCCTAATCCTTCAATATTTGAGTATCAAATTTAGGTTTTTTTTTTTTTTTTTTTTTTTTTTTTTTTTTTTTTTTTGTTTTTTGTTTAGGATTCTGAAATATTGTGTTTCTTGTTTGCATCCAGAGGAAGAGGAGGTCGATTAAATCCAGAGAAAGAGGAGGTCCCTAATCTGTTTTGCTGGCAGGAAGAGGAGGTCGACTAAATGCAGGTCAGTCCCTAATCTGAAATGGATTTGTTTTTTTATGTTTAGAACTTCTTTAGTGAACTTCAAGAAGGAAGGGCTAGAGAAACTGAAGCCTAAGCTGAAATCTTCTATTGAGAAGGGAATCCAGTTTGCCAACCAGAATTAAGAAATTCTCCCCTTTTGCCATTGAGTGATTCACAAATTTGAATAATAATTTCGAGCAAATGTTGTCTACTCGGATTTTAAAGACTGCCAGTTTCTTAGATTTAGCTGTTTAAAATTGAAGCAGTATCTATCTTTAATTATTTGTGAAATAATTGAACTTTATCTTTTGTGATAATGAAATCTAAAGTTTTAAAATTTGGAAGTAGTATCTAAAGAACATTTTTTGCTTCCAAAAAAAAAAAAAAATCTAAAGAACATTTTTCATTCCAAAAGACTAGTTCAATAGGTTGAATAATCACTCAAGATTAAGTTCCACTTCACGGCACAATTTCTTCTGGAGTTGAGTGAGATCATATCAAAAGAGGTAAGGTTGATTTGAAAATAGTTTATTTTGGTCCTCAGGTTGGGGACTTAACCAATTCAATGAATTTTTGAAACATTTAGATGCCTTATGAGTTATGACTATATAGTACTGATTGAGTATCTACTTGTCTCTTTCCCTATTGTCTCAGTAGAGTAGATACTGGGAGAGGACATGTCACTCATCTAAAATGGATTTGTTTTTTATGCTATTCTTATGTTGTTTTATGTTGTTTTCTGAATGCCATTAATCCAATTTAATGTTTAGAACTTCTTTAGTGAACTTTAAGAACCTCTTTTACTTCTAAGGGTTTGTGTGTGTGTGTGTGTGTATATATATATATATATATATATATATATATATATATGTATATATATATATATATGTATATATATATATATGTATATATATATATATATATATATATATATATATATATATATATATATATATATATATATATATATATATACCTTTTACTTAAGGAATCTAGATGCCTTATGGCTATATAGTCTAGTGAGAGTAACAACAAAAGAATCTATGGAGAAATGGTTAGATAAGGTCTGGTTTGGAACTGCAAATCCATTGAACTCACTAACCTTGACTGGCTTGTCTCCAATAATCCTGAGCTCAGTAATTGAGTCTCCCTCACATGCTGTCAAAAACCTGAAACATGTACTCTGCAACATGTCTTTTGCACTGGAATGAATGCAAGAGCAATCTGAGATTATTTTGCTAAGTCCCTAGGGCTTAATATTCAGATTAGTCTCCCTCACATGCAAAGCTCATATAAATCTAATGTTTTGAATAATAAAACATAAACTGATTATTCAACTTGACAATATAAATTAAGGAATATATCAAATATCAAATATGCAACCACATTACTATTATGATTTGAATACTTTGCTCATTTTAGAACATAGAATAGTCTTTGGCTAACAATATTTTACCATGCAGATTAACTTCATTAGCAAAACAATTAAAATAAATAAAAGATGAAACTATGCATTGCACAAGTAAGAACTGTGTATATTTCTTAGTTTAATAGCTACATAGCAAGTGTTCCATGTACCTTCACCTGCCTTTGATTGTTTTCTAGCTCATCCCTATGGTCCTTTGATTGTTTTCTAGCTCATCCCTATGGTTATTGAGGACTTCAGATGCTTTATATATGTACATCCAGAGGAAACTAACAATTTAGTTTCTTGCAAATGATGACAATAGAGTCTGATGCAATTTTAGAAACATCTCTATACATTTGTTTCCATACACATTGTAAAATATGTTATATGAATCTCTTCTCACCTATTTCATACTGTTTGGAGTGGGTTTGATCCTTTGGTTTGTCTCATGTGGGCTTCTAGCTTTCTCTTGGGCATTATCTACCATTTTTTGAACTGTTAGATTGAATTTCTTGTACTGTATTTTTCTTTGTTTGCAATGATGTTAACAATTAAAAATGCAGGGAAATGATCAAGTTGAGTTTGATGAGCAGGGATAAAAGTCTAGCAATATAGTATATTAATTTTAAAAACATGAATGCTTCTTGTATTACTTACCTCTCCGTTTTATTTGACTTAACTTGCTGCTACTTGATTACTTGTGGCATTCTTAGCTTTCCCTTTCTTAATTTAGTTGATCACAGTCTTACAGCAGCAACTGAAATCAAAAGAGAAATGAATTAATGGTTACATTCATGCAGAAAATGTCTCGACGTCAAAAGAGTAAATCGTTGATGTCCCAACCAGCAGTATCTAATTCTGAACGAAATCAACTACCAAGTCCATCAAATAATGCCCCAAACTCCAGCCCACCATCAATTACTTTCCCACAGTCCAGCCGAAATAGTGACTCAGAGCGTACTATATCAGCGTCACCAGATAATAGTCCATCACCTCCAACTTCACCAAGCAACAGGCCCACAATACACCCTGTTGGGAACAATTCGTAAGTTTTATATTGATAATTCTAATGTGTTGACCTTTATCTCTAACATATATAATTTATAATTTGTTACAGGTTTGAGCCATGCAAGGCGCATAGAGAAATTATCGACTGTGTTACTAAAATATTCCCTGATGCAATAAAGTCATACAGTGCAGCTCCTAGACATATGAAGGATGTTTGGTTTAATGAATTCAGGGTAAATTAGTTTATAACTGCTATTAGTAAATATGTATTAACAGAATATATGCATGCATGCAATTGATATTCATTTACTAATTACAGTTTTTATTTTATTTTATTTTATCAAAGAAATCATATAAGTGGAAACCGGAAGATGAGGAAGCTATTCAGAGAATATTTCACAGCAAGGCTGCCAGGAGACTGTCTGACACATTGTATGAGGTTCATAGAAACTTGGCAAAGGGTAATGCACCATCAAAATGGATGCTTGATACGGTTTTAGCTCAATATCGCAGTATTTGGGATAAAGATGAGTTCAAGAAGACTGCCGAAAAGAATAAAAGAAATAGAAATTCTGACTGTGGGGGATTGGGACCGTCGCTACACACTGCAGGTTCAATCCCCATCACCGAGCATAGGAGAAGATTGGTAAGTCACTTACTACTATTTAAATACAGTTTATACTTAAACAACAATCAATATATATATATATATATATATATATATATATATATATATATATATATATATATATATATATATATATATATATTATATATTTGTTTTATTGTTCTTGGATAGAAAGAAAAACATGGAGAAGATCCCTCCCATGCAGCATTGTTCCAAGCAACGCACAAGCGTAAAAAAGATGATGAGTTTAATCTGGAGGCCTTACATAGTTCCTTACCCAAAGATTAGCTCCTGTCCTCACTAGAAGCTCAGCAAATCGAGTCTTGTTCACCATTGATAACCTTGCAATCTTCACATGGTAGTCGGCTACAAACCAACTTCGTCTTTTCTTGTCTTGATAAACGGTAAGCCTTCCCTGAAAACTTTATTACCGCGCGAACCTGTCTTTCTTATGATAGTCCGACAGTGGAACTGGTCCTTAAGTTCATCCCTGACTGTCCTTCCCTTTACTGTTCACTCTTCCCATACAAGATTAGTTACTTTGCATTCCTTCCTGGTTTTAGGTAGATCTCCTACCAGGAATCATTGGCACAAAGTCTCACTTGCAACTTAGGAACACTCGGTGGTCAAATCCGTCTTTGCTTCGCTCTTGTCGATTTGAGTCTTTTGACGGCCCCAACGATTGATTGCAACTCGGTTACGTCTTCTTTTCTTCTTGTTGCCAAACCTTCTTACCGAAAGTCTTCATGTTAACCATAACTTTCCAGGTGTGCCGACTAGGATGAACGCTGCCCTCGTATACCAACTACTACTCACCCTCTCCACTTTTCACCGAGTCAGACGACTTGCTAGCAATGTGGTTCCTCTTCTCCATGCACTATAAAGGTCCAAGCCTTTCCTGTACGGCTATCTTGATCTTTATTACTTCCAAGTTCATTGCTCCGAACTTGTCCAAACTTGGTTTCTGCAAGGGTAGGTAGAACTACTTCCATGACACCTCAACTCTTCGTGCTTTAGGAAGGTCCAAGGTTGACTTGTAGCCCCTTTAACTTTGTGAGGCTTCCATCACGTTGACCGAAAGACGATCACTTGCCGTGAGTTGACATCTTCTTAGAGAGTCTGCGACCGCTCTTGACTCCCCCTCGTGCGTGAGGGTCTTCATGTCTTGATCTTCAAACTCTAGGATTAACGTAGAACTGATGACGTTGTCGTACGAGAGACGGCGCCACTTGTTCGAACGGGGATTGTTGTAGCTGACTCCAGATTGCGAGAAGAGCAGCCTTCTACTTTGAGTTGACCACTTCTTCAGATGCAAACACCACGTCTTGAGTAACTTGCAACAGCAGACCTTCGAGTCTTCTTTCTCTTAGCCACAGTCTTCGTCAAGACTTCAACGAAAGCAGAATGAGGAACTTACCGAGAAGGTTCACACCAACCGAGAACAACAACCACAACTACTAACGCTAACAAGAAAACAAGATAAAAGAACTACACAGATAACAAAAGCTAGCTCACAACCTCATCGCGCGTCCTAAGAATCATATACTTAGGTACTTAAACACTTTGATACTTAAAGTCATCTTAGGGTCTCAACCCACACTCAACTTCTTAAAAGTCCAGACTCTAACATCCTAGGCTCAAACTGTAACACCCCAAATTTTATAACAAAATTTTCTTTAATTTTAATACTTTTTCTCAATTAAAAGTTTAATAATACTCTAGCGGAAGCATTAACTAACCAAAATAAAGGGTGTTACCGCCACACTTAGGCAACCAACAACCTAAGTGCTAAGGCTAAAATTACAACATCGAATAATATCTCAAGTGCCACTTAATACATAAAATTTCAAATTACTATACAACAATATTTTTCTCAAGAATATCAAATCTCCCATGCTGTCTATTCTTAATAGACTAAACTCGTTCTCAACTGGAATCCTTATTCATGTTCAACTGTAAAAATTATTTGACACAAAAAGATAGAGAATAGACAAAAATTAGCATAAGCTAAGTAAGTTCCATTTCACCCCGTAAAATAATAGGCTCGGATTTTATATAATTTTCAAATTAAAATACTTATATATTCTTATACTTTCGCAAACCATATATATATATATATATATATATATATATATATATATATATATATATATATATATATATATATATATATATATATATATATATATACTTTTGTACAATTAACATAGTAGAGACTTTCCAAGTATTACTTAGTAAATAATCATTTTCCAAAACCTTCCACGCCATTTTTTCCAAAATATAACATATTTATCATGGAGGAGTAGATACCAAGTGAAGAGTCTTTAAGCTCTCAACATAACCACCAAAAGGCATCATAAGCCAATCATGAAAATAATTTTAGAGTTCCAATGTGAGTTCTACCGGCTCACTCCGGTATAATAAAAATATTTTTGTGAGTTCTCCCGGCTCACTCCGGTATAATGACCAAATTTCCAATCAGTTGGTTGTGAGTTTTCCGGCTCACACCAGCACCAAATATCATCATCCTCCAAGATTAAAATATGTATGTATATATACTTTCATGTAAAAATATTTCTTTTCCAAACTTTAATGATATGAACGTGTAATAATAATAAGATTTCACCACATATATAAATGGTGTAATTTGTCAAAATAACACTTTTTGCAAATTGATCACATTTGATCATTTCTTTTTATATATAAATATCAAAAATTCCAAGCCAAGCATTTACACAACACACGGGTTCGACACGTCGAAACCCATTCTCGATACTTCGAGAATTACTTCTCACAACATTACAATGCACCTGTGATCACATGAACATTATAACTCACATCATAGATACCGTACTCATATTCACACAACATATAATGTTTACGGAAAAAAGTAATTTTGATGAACATGAAATCTTACCAAAATGATAATTCCTAGCAATTCCATAAACCGCCCAACCTCCAAATCCTATCTTTCTTTCTCTTCTTCACTTTCTTCTTTCATTTCTTTCTTTTTCTTTCGTCCGGTCTTGCAAAAATCGAACCTAAAACCTTAAGATTAAGGTACAAGTCTCAAACCGACACACCAATTCATCTCTTGGTTTATATCTTAGCAAAATTTATATATATATATTTATATATATATACGAAAAAGAATATAAGGCTTTCTTTTAGGCATAATAGATAAATATAACAATTTAATTTTATAAAACTAATTTTCAAAAATTCTTTTCGCAACATACTAAAATATTTTAAGGGTGAACTATATAATATTTTCTCAAAATTATATTATTGCTTAAAATTACCGGGTATCACACAAACCTAGGCTCTGATACCAACTGTAACACCCCGATTTTCATGCCAAATTAAAGCGTAAATATGCAAGGCAAACTAACCAAAAGATAGCATAAAACATAAATACAACTGAAGTCTAATCATAAAACGGAGAAAACCAAGAAGTGTTATGCCACGTTCACTCCAACGTGAACGCACGGGTAAAAACTAAAACCATCAATCTAATATGTCTAACATAAGTGGCACATAGGCCAAAACACAAACTAAACTGTTCAGGGGATCTAAACTATCCATGTCTAACGCTCTCGCCATCTACTTAGGACCTGTAAGGCACATAAAGAAAGGGGACGACGCCCAGTCAGCGAATATTGCTGGTAACCCATCAATACGCGTTTAATAGCATAAGTAGATAGTATAATACAAAATCATTTTCGAAACAGAATACAGTATATATCAATTTTATACCGTAAAGAGAGAAGTCAACTGCAAACACTCTATTTCACTCTCAAAAGAACAAGGGAATCACATCCCAAGACCACATTAAGGCAAGAACAACAACATAACAACTCAACACCGCTCAAGATGTAATCTACTGATCACAAAGCAGAAAACATCAACGCAAAGACAACAACAACAACAAGTACAACTCGAGGTGTATTCTACTGATCACAAAGTAGAATACCACTCGACCTGCTCAACAGATTAGGATAAATATCCACAGATTGGCACTACATGCCACAGTGACACTTCATGTCACAAGTTCCAAATTCCATCCTTATGCCCGGTTCCAACCTTATGGCTACCCCAACCTTATAACTAGTTCCAACCATTACCTCCGAGAAACCCTGTACTTTTGAGTCCACCTTATCCTCCTGGAACCGTCGTTCCCCACCTACAACCACCAAATCATCAACCACCGATTTCATAGTACACGAGGGTACCGTTCATTTCAATCACACAACCACCAATCACATGAGCCTGAAGCCCAAATCACATGAGCCTGAAGCCCAAATACAACTCCATAATCACATCATGGCCACCACGAGGACCACATCTGTACCTTGGTGATTAATGTCCCATACAATTAATTGTGCAATCCAGGTACAGCCAACACACACATCATCATAGAAGACGTCTTGATGATTATGTGTTGTTCTTGATGATTATGATGTTTTTGATGATTAATTGGTATCCTTGATGATTATGTGTTGTTCCTACCGAATCTTGCAATTAGAAGACGAATTGTATTCTTGTTGATATAAAAGTGATTAGAACCCTAGGTTGTATCGTATGATATTATTCTTGGATCATCGGGTGGGGAAATCGCATGTTTGGGTGTTGATTATGCATGATAGGTTAGGTGCCGTTCGTTTCTCGTATTTGATCCGTTAATTATCTACGTGTTGTCGTTAATTGCATTGTAAAGTGTCTAAGCATGGTTTCGGGTTCCACAACGGTTCCCGGGGCGAAAAGTGATGAAAAGAGTCAGTGGGGGGTAGGTGGGGGTAGGGGACCCGCCACCTACCCGTGGCAACTCCGGGCAGTTCCGGCAGCGGGCAGCCGGCGGGCGGGCAGCTGCCCGCCGGGCACCCGCTGCCCGGAACAG